GATTACATTGATCGATTTTCTAATGTTGAACCATCCCTGCATTCCTGGGATGAAGCCTACTTGATCATGGTGGATGATTTTTCTGATGTGTTCTTGAATCCGGTTTGCGAGTATTTTATTAAGTATTTTTGCATCAATGTTCATGAGGGAAATTGGTCTATAGTTTTCTTTCTTAGTCGTGTCTTTGTGTGGCTTGGGTATCAAGGTAATTGTAGCCTCATAGAGTTTGGCAGTGGGCGTCCTACTTCTATTGTGTGGAATACTTTGAGGAGTATTGGAATTAGCTCTTCTTTGAATTTCTGGTAGAATTCTGCACTGAAGCCATCTGGGCCTGGGCTTTTTTTATTTGGGAGACTTTTGATGACTGCTTCTATTTCATTAGGGGTTATAGGTCTGTTTAGATTGTTTATCTGCTCTTGATTTAGTTTTGGCAAGTGATATCTATCCAGGAAATTGTCCATTTCCTTTAAATTTTCAAATTTTGTGGAGTACAGATTTTCAAAGTATGCCCTGATGATTCTCTGGATTTCCTCTGAGTCTGTTGTTATGTCCCCTTTTTCATCCCTGATTTTGTTAATTAGCATGCTATCCCTCTGTCTTTTGGTCAGTTTGGACAGAGGTTTATCTATTTTGTTGATTTTCTCAAAGAACCAACTCTTTGTTTCATTGATTCTTCTCAGTGTTTGTCTGGTTTCTACTTGATTGATTTCAGCCCTGGCGTCTGCTCCTCCTGGGGGAGTTTGCTTCTTTTTGTTCTAGAACATTCAGCTGTGCTATTAATTCTCTAGTATGACTGTTCTCCAGTTTTTTCATGTGGGCACTTAGTTTTATAAGGAATGAATTCTTGAATACAATGGCTAGTTTTGATGCAGAGCTGTTTTGTTCCATGCAGAGAAAGAAAACCATAAGCATTGCTGATATATTTTGCTAGTCATGAAGCTACAACTTAACATGGAAATTTTACAGTATCTAGTCACAAATCAAATAATAATTAGCAGAATCACACTGTGGTAAAATATCCTAAAACATTCACATCCCTTGGGTGGCCTACTAATCCATAAACCTTTATGACACTGAAATAATATACCATACATCTGATTTCCAAGTCTTGAATAAACTTCTCAGCAGTTTTTGAAAGGCTCAGCCACATTTCTTTTTTATATATATAAACTTTATTTAAATTAGAATAAATCTTATTTTACATATCAATTTCTGTTCTCTCCCACCCTCCCATAACCCCCAATGACCCCTCCATCTCATCACCCCATCCATTCCCCAGGGAGAGTGAGGCCTTCCATGAGGGATCATTAAAATCTGTCAAGTCATTTGGGGTAGCGCCTAGGCCCTCCCCTGTGTATCTAGGCTAAGAGAGTATCACTCAATGGGAAATGTGCTCCCAAATTCAGTTCATGCACTACGGATAGATCCTGGTTCCACTTCCCAAGGCCCAATAGACTGGCCCATGCTCCTAACTGACACCCATGTTCATTGGGCCTGGTTTGATTCTATGTTGGTTCCCCAGCTGTCAGACTGGGGTCTGTGAGTTCCCACTTGCTCAGCTCAGGTATTTCTATGGGTTTTCCCAGCGTGATCTTGGCCCCTTTCTTTGTCACTCCTTCCTCTCTGAAACTGGGTTCTAGGAGTTTGGCTCAGTGCTTGGCTGTGGATCTCTGCTTCTGCCTTCATCAGCTACTGGATGAAGACTCTAGGATGGCATTTAAGGTAGTCATCATTCTCATAGGGGACAGGCATTTAAGGAAGCCTCTCCACTATTGCTTAGGGTCCTAGTTAGGGTCATCCTTTTGGATCTCTGTATAATTCCCTAGTGCCATATTTCTCTTTAAACCTATAATGGCTCCCTCTATTGATGTGTCTCTTTTCTTGTTCTTTTCTATTCCTCTCCCCACTCAACTTCCTGATCCCTCTTTGTCTCCCCCCTTCTCCCCTCCTATTTCTCCTACCTCCCTCCCTCTCTCCCCATATTTCCCATTTGTTCAGGGCCTCTTGTCCCTTTCTGTTTCTCTGGGGGACCATGTATGTCTCTCTTATGGTTCTCCTTTTTTCCTAGCTTCTCTGGAGGTATGGAATGTAGCCTGATAATCCTTTTCACTATGTCTAGAATCCATACATGAGTGAGTACATACCATATTTGTCTTTCTGTGACTGAGTTACCTGACTTAGGATGTTTTTTTTAGTTCCATCCATTTGCCTCTGAGTAGAAGGGCTTTTCAGTACAGCAAATTACACACTTAGTAATACTTGGTGTGACTTCTGACCAGTCAGAACTTCTTACTTTCCTCTTCAAAAAGGAAAGAAACACAAAAATTTCTCCTAGGTGAATAATATTGTAATGGCTGACAAATGGAATTCTGAAGAAGGCCACAGCTTGGTTATTTTGCTATTGTGTAATATTAGGCAACCGCACCCTCTGAAGGTCCTCTATGAGTTCTGAGCAAAGTAGCATTTTCATTAGCACAAATGGTTGAAGGAAGGTCCCTCACAAGAGAGATTTAGAAAGCTCTTCTGCCTAAATGCTTGATTTTATTGGTCTATAGACTTTAATATGTTGAAAGAACAATGCTGCCTAATAAGTCATGACAGTACTTAGGTGCATACAATAAATATTTACTTTTGCTTTCATTTCTACAGAACATTGTGAAATTTCTGTTTGTGTTGACTTAGCTTGCCTAGACTGTTTATATTCTCTTAGGTGGAACAGACCCATCAGCTTGTTGTTTGGTTTAGCTGGGGTAAGTGCTTATGTTCCAATGGTCTCTTACCCTACAAATTAACATGGAAGTGTTCTTTATCATTGTGTTTACAACACTTTCAGCAAGATGAAATCTAATCAGAACTCTTGAGGTGGATTTGGAAATGTCAAACTGTCATTATCATAGTACATTATTAACCAAAGAAAATAGTAAGGCATATTATGGGCAAATGGATTCTATCTCTTGATGGGAGAGGAGTGTGAACATTATATTATGGGATGTGATTATACAGATACATAATGGCTTAGAGTCAGTTTTATAACCAGTCCACTACACAGAGTGTGATTCACAGGATTTAAGAAAGCTCTAGAAGAATACTGGTCTAGAGGGAATTCTGAAGAGGCTCTTAAATATTCTTGTACTTTTTCCTGGAGAACAGATAAGTTAATGGAGTCAGCTTCATCTTCTTATCTTGCTATTAAAATCCATGAATCAGCAGTAGGGTTATTAGAGCTAATGTCTCTCTTTAGAACAATTCATTCCATACTTCTGAAGCAAAGCCTTTGAGTTTATACTGATACTTTTCAAATTTGACTAATGGAACTACTCAATCATTATACTTGTCTTTGGGAGAGTATCAAGTACTGCTTTCTTCCATACTTTCTGGTGGTTCTATTTTTCAATCATGGATGAGAACCTCTTACTCATAAACTGCTCTTGACTGAACATGACTTTGTTTAAACTTTTGAAGATTGTTGTTCGACATTATACTTCTCAGTTCTATGTCCTACAAATGTTAGCCACCTTGCTCTCTATACATTCTCACATAATCTCTTCAGTTCAGTAGGTTGGCTAGCTTTCTCCTGGGGTCTTTTTTTTTTTTTTTTTTTTTTGCTTTTTGCACCACAATATGGAAACTCTCAGATTTGCTTCTTCTCTCTCAGTGATTCTCATCTGGTGCTGTTTGATATTCAGTGCATTCAGATAATGAGTTGTTTTGTGTATTTTATATAGGACTTTATTCATTTCAATCAGGGAAGAAAATTCAGTCTCTGTTATTCAATTATGGATGGAGTTAGAAGTCACCCATCATTAGGTTTAGCATTAATGAAACTATAATAAAACTATGAGGAGAAACACACACACACATAATGTCTGTAAGTAATAATTCTTCACTCCCTTCTCTTCTCCATGTACTGTGAGTTATTTTAACTTTGCATTTCCTTATTGTGTGTGTATTTGTGTGTGTGTGTGTGTGTGTGTGTGTGTGTATACGTTTGCCTGTGCGTGTGCATTTAGGAACACATACACATAAGAATGTAAAAGTGACAGCATGAGTGTGGAGGCCAGAGAACAATTTACTGGAGACAGTTCTTTCCTTCCACTATGTGGGTCCTGAGGACGGAACTCCAGTAACCAGCTTGCCAGCAAATGCCTTATTAGTTGACCCTTCTCTCTGTCCCTGTTTAGCATTTTGTCCAAGATTTACTTCCAATATATTTACTTTTCTTATGTTTTTTTTATTTCATGATATGTAGGTATACATAATTTCTTTCCAGCAATAGTATATACCCTCCAAACACTTTCATATTCTTCATAATGTGTGTAGTATTTTAGAATAAATTAAAATTGATTATTCCTTTCTATAAGATGGGACTTAAAAATTGTAGAGGAAAAGTGCAGGGTACATAATGCTGTCTTCAGCTTTTATGTTGCTGTTGATTTTGATTCCAGTTGTCTCCACTGAAATTAGGTGCCATATGTTAGGTCTCAGTTCTCATTAGTTCAGTTGCAATCTGTTGAGATGAACACTCCAGCTGACATGAGGGATGCATTCTAAGCCTCTTTGAGTCTGCTTTGGCTCTGTTTTGTGAAACTGTTTTCTTCTGTTTTCAAACTCTACTCATTGACCTTGAAGTCATAATTCATAAAAGCAGGATGTAAGGAGTGAACCATTAAAAATGTCTTGAGTGTAGTATCACAATATGTAGTCACAGAAAATGTCCGTCTCTCCAAAATGAGTTCTCAATTATTTTTTTTCATTGATGACCTCTGAGGCCTGTTTATTCCCATCACCATTGGTAAGCCTCCTCTCAATCCTCTTGACTTCTCTGTCTCTTTACTTACTATTAACACAGCTAGAAGTAAGCAATTATATCTTGTTAAATGGTTGCAATGGGATTTAAAATAGTTATTTTACAGACCCAAGGGTCATACATTACCTTTGAATTGGGTATAGATCTACATAAAATTATGTAATCAGGGTAATTTTTGATATATCTTTTTCAGAATACACATACCAATTTGAATATGAGAAAAAGAACAAATGCCTTGGTCCACTCAGAATCTGATACCAACAGCAGAACTGAGGTGGGAAACCATTCCAGCAAGACCTCCACAGTCCAAGAGCCTGCTGAAGCCACAAGGAAAGAGTACTTAGCTTCCAGTCCAAATCCATTCAGCAGGGCAAATGCAGCTGAGACAATATCCGCAGCAAGAAGTCTTTCATCTGCACCCTCTCCCACTCCTTGTGGCACATCGAGACCAGCTTCTTTGGGGTCGACTTCTACTCGACCTGCATTTGGGTCGAGACTTGGGCGAATTAAGACCACAGTTAATACCACAGGGGCACCTGGGACTGTGCCAGCCACACCTCCTCCCTCTGCTCCACCACCGTCTGGATCTGGCACAAGTAAAATAGACAAATATGCTCGTATTCTCTTCCCAGTCACATTTGGGGCATTTAACATGGTCTACTGGGTTGTCTATTTATCGAAGGACACCATGGAGAAATCAGAAAGTCTAATGTAATTTTGTTGCTGTAGTAATTTCATAAAAGATTATGGAATTCAGACTGCCTTTTTGAATGTTTTTAAAGATAAGCATTCTTTACTAAAATAAAAATTATATGTCATTTTTTAGTTAAAAAATACAAGTCAGCCGGATGGTGGTGGCGCAAGCCTTTAATCCCAGCACTCGGGAGGCAGAGGCAAACGGATCTCTGTGAGTTCGAGGCCAGCCTGGTCTACAAAGCTACCTGTCTTGAAAAACCAAAAATAAAATGCGAATCAGATAGATATTGAGAGAGTTGATTAATTCCCTAGTGTCCAGAAAGTGAATCATCTTTCCTTATAGAAAGATGATTTTAAAAGAATCTGTTCAGTGTTCAAATTGGATGTAAATCAGACCATTATGGAAAGTCAGAACAAGAAAATTAGTGCCAGAAGAGATATGTAATGTATATTTTTGCATTGAATTTTGGAAAAGAGTGTGATATTTTAAAATACACCCCATGAAATCAACCAGTGACCAAAAATTTCCCATTGGCACTGCCCTTAACCAGAATAGTGTACTGGAAGTCACCAGCAGTGACCTTTGCAGTTGCACACACTATCTGCAAGAAAAAAACTTCCTCTGTTAAACAAAACACCTCTAGAAGAGGAAAATGGAACCAAGAAAACACTGATAAATGCAGCGAAACTTCTGCTGCATCAAATAACAGATACTGACCAGGGCAAATGTGTTTTTCTGCCACATGTTGGTTAAAAAAAAATACCTAACAGTTGACTTGAAATGTTGTGCTCTGAGCCAAAGTTAAATTCCTTGTACAAATTCTTTTTCATAGTATCTTATTCAGTTATGTACGGTACACATTTTCCACTAGTTCCTCAGAGCCTGGAACTTTCTTGCTGTAGGTGGTTTAGAGACAGTTTTCAGGGAAGTTCCTTCACTTTTACAAAGTCCCTTCAGTAGTAGGATCATCAGTGCATGTAAAAGAACCATACTTTAACCGAGGACATTATGTTCGTTAATGAAGGTAATTTAGTTAGAGTCTGACAGCGTAGCCAATTTATTTGCTTCTCCTGCACTGACAGAGGAAAACAAATACATTTGTTCCTATAGCCACTTTGAGGTAAGTACATGTTAGTAAAATCTTGATGATTGGTTCTCAAACTATAATGAAATAATGATAGAGATTGTTCTATAGGTGAAAAAGCATCATATACCTGAAACATAAAAATCTGGGCACTGGAAAACCTAAAAGATTACTGTGTCAAATCTGATGCAGGTCACCTAACACAGTTTTCTCACTGTACCAGAATCACACAAATCATAGTCCACAGACCTACTGTATGTTTATCCTAGTAGAGAAATTAGCTGCCAACATGCCAATATTCTTGCAAGTTTTTGTGGTCATAACGTTTGTATGCCTGGCATGGTTTGTATTTGTTTTCTAGGCATTTGATAAGGTTTTATAACCAAGGCACTTTAAAAATTAAAGGTGCAGTTAGAGAAAGAAAGGAATAAAAACATTACAGCCTTGGATGGGTTGTCAGTCACTGTTATGCAATACATCTGGATTTTCAAGTACTGGCTTTACCTTTTCATTATGTAGGCCCAATATCCTAACTGAATCACTTGCAGCTTTCTGAATAACTCATCCTGGTTGGTCTTTTTGTTGTTTCACTTCCTAATTTCCCCCCTGTATTTCTACCTGTTCTTGGTATATGTAAGTAAATATGCTCTGGACTTGAGGGGGGAAACATTTGATAGAAATAGACATCTTATAGACAGAATATCTTATTTTATGGGGGAAAATTATACTGATTAATATGAACTTTTGTGTTACTACATTGCTTTGTAATAGTTGCCCATGAAACTTATAAAATTTAAAAATGTCAAATTTTCATTGACCTCCATCTGAGGATTTCTTCTTTTTTATTTCTAAATGTTTTATAGAATTAAAACACTTTAAAGTTAAAAGATGTGGAAGAAATCCTCACTTATAAATTGATTCCAGCAATATGAGGCCCAGGAACATGTGTAAATATGTTTATACATTTAATAAAATTAATTGTACATAAAAGCTTATACTAAATTATTTCACGAGTTTGAAAATGCTTTTAAAGACTTTTATTCCAATGCTTAGAGCTGTAATGGGAAAACACCATCATTTTTTGTAACAATACAATGATCTTTTTGCTTTGGAGATGAATGCTTACTCTTGTTTTCATTTGTTTTGTTTTTTCTCTTTTGTCTTTTTTTAGATTCATACTCATTCTCTATAAACTTTAAGTGTTTTATTGACCTGTTTTAAAACACACTCTTTTAAAATTTTTATGGGATTTAAACAATTGAAAAATATCTGACCCTCCTCGGCCTGACAGTTCAAACCTGTGATCCCAGTTTTGGGGAGGCTGATGCAGAGAAATGCCATAAGTTTTGAGGCTACAGAGTGAGTTATAGGCCATTATGGGATAGAGTGCAACACTGGCTTCAAATAAAAACAAAACCCTAGGAGAATAAACAGTAATAATTTAAAAAAGGAAATCAAGGTAAATGCTCCTGCCCTGGGGGCAGGGAATAAGGTAGATTCTTTGTATCCAGGGTAGTCTTCAAGTTGCTATGTAGATCAGGCTGATCTCAAATCCAAGTTTGTCCTTTCTGTTCCCCAAACTATCAGATTGCATGCGTGTATCCCTATGACCAGTAAAGACTAAATTATTCAAGGAGTCTCCATTGTTCATTTGAAGACTAACTTGACCAAAACAATTTATTGCTAGTATACAGAATCTATCTCACTTGCACGTGACATTTTAATAGTAACAATATATGCTTCATTTCATTGAGACTTTCTTATCTTTTCCTTTGGTCATAAATTATGTGTTCTTCATAACTTCAAGGCACATTGGAATTCTTGTGTGAAGATTTAGTTACTTTTCACCATTATTCATAAGAATGACCATGGGACCCCAAAGTACTCATCAGTGGTGGAATAAACAAACAAATATCTTCTGTCTGACAATGGTACCTTTTGTATAACTCCATCTCTAAAGATTAAATTCAGAATTCTTTTATATTTTACTGGTGAATATGTTAATTTCAGTTTTTCATTACAAAGTTAGTTGGCTATACCTGTTTAATCACTTCTAATTTCCTCCAGGCATGACTAGTTATAAAATATATTTACATGATTAACCCAGGGTGAAAACCAAAGGTTTGTGCATAGACCTATTACTTTCTGTAACAAACACTTTAAACTGAGCCCCACATTTTTAAAATTTTTATTTAAATTAGAAACAAACTTGTTTTACATGTTAATCCCAGGTCTCTCTACCCTCCCTCCTCTCCAGCTTCCCACCAACCCCTATCCCATGCGCTTTCTGCTCCCCAGGGATGGTGTGGTCTTACATAGGGGATCTTCAAAGACTGTAATATCATTTGGAGCAGGGCCTAGGCCCTTCCTTGTGTGTCTAAGCTGAAAGAGTATCCATCTATGTGGAATGGGCTCCCAAAGTTCATTAATATACTAGGGATAAATACTGATCCACTGCCAGAGGCCCCATAGATTGTCCAGGCTTTGTAACTGACTCCCATGTTCAGGGGATCTGGATTGATCCTATGCTGATTTCCCACCTATCAGTCTGGGGTCCATGAACTTCCCCTTGTTCAGGTCAACTGCTTCTGTGTGCTTCTCCAGCCTGGAATTGACTCCTTTGCTCATCACTCCTCACTCTTTGCAACTGGATTCCAGGAGTTTGGTTCAGTGTTTATCTGGAGCCCCACAAAAAAGACAGAGCAACATCACTCTCTTTCATATTCGAGATGAGTCACAGATTAGTTAATGATGAAGATAAATGCAGTAGGCTGGATTGAACTTCTAAAAGGTCTTTTTTCAATCACTAACCTTACCATGGACCTTATTTCACGTAATACATAAAAATGTGTGTATTCTATTTTATCTATAAAGGCAATTGTTTCTGATCCAGGAGAAGAGATAGAAAAATTCTTTATTCATCAGTTCCCTAATTTAACTGGTGTGCTCTTCTAAAACTGAGAATAATTTGTATTGGGAAAGAAAGAGAGAAGAGGATGCAGTGGGTTTTATGTTCTGACCACATGGACTACCCTGGTACTGAAAAAAGGGAGGTAAATAACATAATTGATATGGCTTGTTTCAATTTCAATATCATATGAATATCATGGTATATATAAGCATATACTTATAATAGATATATGCTATAGTTTGAGCCACAAATACATTATTATTATTGAGAAATACATATTATTACTTCAAGCTGTGGTTTATTTCTAAGTAAAATGCGCTTATCATTAAAATAAGGCAAAACAAAAATATCCCTTTTTTATGTATTAGATATTTTCTCCCCCTGAAAGATTATACCATTCAAATATGAAAGAATATTGATATATTTTCTTGACTCTGTTTTCTTTATCATCACTCCCTGAGCTCCTACTCACTGGATTTTCCTCTAAGATGGTCACAGTCTTCCACTGATGACACAGATAGATTAGGGACTATTGAGTGCAATAAATTTATTGATTGTGGAACAGGACCAAGATCAGGACTCTCAAAGTTGCAATTATCAAGGTAAGTATTAGAAATCAGTATCGTAAAACTAAAAACCAATGCAGGTATTGATGATGAACCAAATACACAAATTATTAATAAATAGTCTCATGTTGGTAATATTTCTTTTTGTCGCAAACGCCAGTTTTTCCAGCCATAGTGCTAATGTTGATGGTGGGTAAAGGACATTTGTAACTGTGACTTTGGCAATGAAGGTTTTGACAGACCAAGCTTCACAGAGTGATCATGAAATGAAATTCATGATCCACAGTTCTTCTAGCCCAACCCACTTAACTCCCACCATTGAAAGCACATTTGTGTTTTATCATTACCTGTTATATAAAGGATTTAAAATGTCAAGCTAAACTCTTACTCTATATAGGGAAAATTGGAATCAGGGAAGTGTAAGTTGTGGATGGTTGCAAAGAGTGATAGAAAGAGATAAGGGAAAATTTTGTGGTAATTGCTGAAAAGATTGAACTTTACTCAGATTAGTGGTGTTGTGTTTAAAATCTTGCAGGATAGTAAGTGTAGGGAAAAGGGACCAGTCAAAGAAACACACCCTGAGCAGAGCCAAAGAAACACACTTTGGCCCTGCAACCAGAACCAAAGAAATGTACCCTGACCCTAAAACCTGTGCCAAAGGAACACACTTTGTCCCTGGAATCAGAGTCAGTGAAAGAAATGTACCCTGGCCCTTAAATTGGAGCCAAAGGCTAAAAAGGACCAGAGAAAGAAACACACTTTGGCCCTGAAACCAAAGCCAAATCTGACCCTAATCCTACGTAAAAAAGTAACCAATCCCGGAGCAGAGCTCTAGCCAATCTGAGCTCAGCACTGAAATCGGACCAATCCCTACTCTGGAAAAACTTCCCCAACCCCAAGAATCCCTATATAAACCCTGTGTATGTTCAGCTTGGCTGGTCCAGCTGCCTTCCAATAAACCCCCTTGGATGAGCTTCGGGTGAAGATCTTCTTTTGCAGCAGCGACAGAGCAGAGGTGACCCTGGGCAGAGCAGAGCAGAGCAAGCAGAGGCGACCCTGGGCAGAGCAGAGCAGAGCAGAGCGAGCAGCGCTGTAACACTTGCCCGGGAAACCTTCCTTGGAAGAGTGGAGTTGTTACACTCTGCTCCTGGCTCTCCGCTCTCCGGTCTCCAGGAGCAGAGCTGAACAGTAACAACATCGCCCGAGAAACCTCCTACCTAGCAAAACTGATACACTAGGCGAACATCCCCAGCTGGAAGACCCTGTCCTGCCGGAGCCGAGCTGATACACTGGAGAAGCCTTTCTCTGAGGCAAGGCTGTAAGCTGCCAAGCTTACTGCAACCTGTGGTGGTCCTTGGCTCCCGAGCTCCAGGATACCTTTCCACCTGAGCTGTGTAACGCGCAGTATTCTGTGACTCCCGAGTGCCAGAATACCTGACCCACTCCTGTTCCATCCTGTCCCGACCCATCCCGAAACGCTTACAGTAAGGAAGGACTAAAAGACATTTTGCTTCTGTTTGAAGGAAACGTACTGACTGCTCTTGGAATTACTGGTGGGAGAAGAACTGAGTCTTATCTGTACTTTTCCAATTAATCATTGATTTCCAATTTTTTAAAATTCCAACGGTTCACTATCATTTGGTATGTGGGAAATTTGTTATAAATAAAGGTGATTCTGTAATAAGTGGTCAGTCTTGATATCGTATATATACAGGTAATACACAAATTGTGAAGATTGTACTTTCGTATTTAGGAATATATGTATGCATATATATCAATGATATATATCAACAATTAAAGGCAAAGAAGACATGAACTTTAGTGAGAACAAAAGGATGCATGGGAGTGATTTGAGGGGAGAAAGGAAAGGGGGTAAATGATGGAATTATATTTTAATTTCAAAAATTAAAAAATATAAGAAACACAGCTAAAAAGTAAAAGTAAGTAGTCTTAAGGGTCCCCAAAAGTGACACTCAGAGGCTGACTTTGTCCATATACACAGAGTCCAAGGCCAGCTAAGCCTTTGTATAGAAAGCTTGTCTTTAAAAGCTGTGCCCCTTGTTTCCAAACAAAACACACATGTGTGTGCATACACACACACACGCACACACACACACACACACACACACACACCGCAAAAAATAGATTTGAACTATGCAGAATATCCAAAGCCATGAAATCCTACCAAGATGGGATTTACATTTCATAGGCATGATAAGTAAGACGCAAGTTTTTAAAAGAGGAATAGATTGATTAAAAGACTGTGATTTGCACATGGGGAGTCAAGTGTGCAATTATCAAATAATAAAAAGTGAAACTGATTTTTTTTCTCCTACAGCCTTGGAGAAGGAACCTGAAGTTTCACCATATGGTAGGCCAACATGCTATCATATCATTATCCACACTGGCCTTGGACCCTGTCTTAGGTGTTAGACAGGCCTCACTCTTTAATTCTCCTGCCTCAGCTTCCAGAATTGATTTTTTTCTGCTTATTTATAGAAGACATTGTTTTCCTTTGAGAGATAGTATCTCTTTATACAGGATGACTTTGAAACCACGATCTTCCTGATTCAGCCTCATAAGGACTTAGGATTATTATATTTAGCTTCTGAAATTAATTTTCTTTTCAGTTTAAGAACTGA